GTCCTTTCTTGTGCACCGTGCTGTGGGGCAGGGACCCTCCTCCAGCACCCCTGTGGGGCAGGGCCTCTGCCATGCACCGTTCTGTGGGGCAGGGTCCCACCCTGTGGGATAGGGCCTCTCCTTGTGCAGCGTTCTGTGGGGCAGGGCCCCTCCTAGTGCACCGCTCTGTGGGGCAGGGTCCCTCCTAGTGCACCGCTCTGTGGGGCAGGGTCCCTCTTAGTGCATTGCTCTGTGGGGCAGGGTCTCCCCTTGTGCACCGTTCTGTGGGGCAGGGTCTCCCCTTGTGCACCGTTCTGTGGGGCAGGGTCTCCCCTTGTGCACCGTTCTGTGGGGCAGTGTCCCTCCTCCAGCACCTCTGTGGGACAGGGTCCTTCCTTGTGCAGCGTTCTGTGGGGCAGGGCCCCTCCTTGTGCACTGGTCTATAAGGCAGGACCCCTCCTCCAGCACCCCCCTGGGGCAGGTGCTCCCCCTCCTCAGCAGCCCCCGTGGGGGACAGGCTGCCCCACTTCTCTGCTCCACAGTCCCCGGTGGGGCAGGGATCTCCACAGGGAAACGGGGCTTCCCCCGGCTGTGCCCTGCAGAGCAAGGCCTGTCCCTGCACCCCCACCGCAGGCCCTCCTCAGGGTGACCGGGTTCTGACTTTGGGGTGATTGGCAGCTCTGTGGGGGTCCCTGTAAGCTCTATAAGGTTCCCTGCTTGGGACCCATAAGATCCCCACTTGTGGGGCAGAGGGGCTAGCCCAGAGAAGGGGGCAGTGGAGGCTTTACCATGGCCTGGGACCGCATCACCCAGGAGTAACAGAGGAGGGGTCTGGGTAAGCGCATAGGGACAGGGGACATGTCCCCACCCAGCACCCATCCCACCTGCACCTCCTTTACGAGGGAGAGCTCCTGGGGGTCCCACCCCACGCTTGGCTCAGGGTCCCCGGGTCACCCCCATTCCTGGTAGCTGCTGGCTTGCGATCAGGCACGTCTCTTTGCTTTCCTGGGGCCAAGACAGGACGCTGCGGGTTTCTTCAGCTTAAAAAAAAAGAAACCAACAACCCAGAAATGGGAAGAGCTGCTGTTTGGAGTTACACAGGGCTGCTGTTCCTGCCGTACAGGCACGTACGGAGCCCTCCCAGCATCCGCCGCTTCGCCCGCTTTGGCAGGGGACACGCGTGGGTCCTGTGGGACTGAAAACCGACGGGTAAAAATGCACCTCCTGGGGTTTGGGGTTGTTTTTTTTTGTTTAGTTTAGCCTGTCTTTGTTTTAGTCTGGGCGTGAGGAGGAGAGCGTTTCCGTGGGTCCGCTCGCTTTGCGCACCTACGAGCGGTGCCGGATCCATCGGATGCGCCAGCGTGTGTGTCTGGGGGTTATTTCCCCCCTCCCTTGTGCACCTTTGGCAGGAGGTTTGGATGACATCTTGCTCTGGCACGCTTCTCTCCTTTGATCTCAAGTTTCCTGCCATGTATAACGTGTTCGGCAACACGCGAACCCGGCTCCGCGGCTGCCGGGAAGGGCGACGTGAGTGCCTCCTCACCCCGGTTTTCCCCGGCCGGCTCCTGCCGACAGCTCCTGGCGTTCCTTTGTCTCGGCTGCCGCCAGGACGGGCTCTCACAACCCGAGGATGCTCCGAACGGAGCAAAGACAATCACAAAACCCCTCCTCTGGCCCTTTGTTTCCAGCCGTTTGCGGGCTGAGCTGATTGTGTGTGGTGTTTCGTGTGCCCAGACAAATAAACTGACGACTCGCATCTCTATTTATTTATTTATTTTTCTGGCTTATTTTCGGTTATTTAGTTTGCTGGGAACATATCCCAGCTGCAGGCTAAGCTGGAGGGATGTGGCAGCTTCCTAGAAGCGGGGTGAAATACCCAGAAGCGTGACTGGAGCGTCTCGTGGTCGTCCTCTTGTGTCCTCCTCGCATCTCTTCGGGTGAGATGGGCCAGAAGCTCTAAGCACCACACACTAAAATCTGGGTTCACCAACCCTTCTGCTTGTTTGTAGGAGGAAAAGTTTGACCCCGGTTTGCACAACCTGCTGCCACCGGCAGCTTTGGGACTGGAGAGGACAGAGGAAGGTGAAGGAAATGCAGGTCCAGGCTCAGACCTGACTGCCTTGACGGCTCAGATAAACCTTTATTTTATGCTTGACTTGTGAGAAAGCAAAATACAAGTTGTTTTTATTATTATTTAGATTCCTATTGTTGTTTCAGTTCCCGTGGGTGTTCAGTTTGATAGTGAGACCGTAGCCTCAATTCATATTAATGCTGCTTTTTTATGACAGGTGTAAGCAGAGCTACTTTGAGCGTGTCAAACAACCCCTGAGTAAATCAGGTTATTTGCTCTATTACTTTATTCATACAGGTTAGATGCTCCAGCTGATGCATCTAGAGTGCTGTGCCATCTGGAGCAAAAATTAAATACAAATTTGGCCCCCAGCCTGGAAAAATAACAAGCCTTTGCCTCCAATAACTGATGGTGGAAGAATATAGCCCCTGAGAGAAGAAATGCTTAGGGGCAAGGTGGAAAGAACCCAAAATGTGCTCATTGAGGTATTTAAAAAAAAAAAAAAAAAAAAAAAAAAAAAAAAAAAAAAAAAAAAAGAAGGAAAAGAAATCCTTCCACCCTTGCAGTGTGTGCTGAAAGCAGCCAGGAAGGATGGTGCTGTAGAGCTGACTTGCAGATGAAGGTTGTGGTTCTGGGTGGGTGGTGGAGCTGCTGGAGGTGAGGGTGGTGATGACCTCCTGGGTCTCCTGATCTTGCTGTTGATGGAAATCCCCTCCACAACCTCCCAAAGCTCCACCTGGCTACCAGCTCAGCTCGGGTTTGCTTATTTTGTCACTGCTTAGCTCGGTAAAAGGCTGTCAAGGCTGGCCTGCTGGCTAGAACCTTCTTTCTCATCTCCTGCTGGGTTTGGACTCTCTAGGTCTACTCGTTGGATCAGTGGTGGTGGTTAGTCCGAGGCTGTCTCAGATCTGGGGGGACAAGCGCTGGAAGTGGGTAAGCCAAGGTGGTGCCTCTGCTTGTACAGCCTGAGCTGCGGTCTGCTTGCTTCTGAGCTCGTCTGGAGATACCTGTGATGGACCAGCTGGGAAGGACACCTTGGTCAACATGCATCTGTGTTAGTAGCATCTCTCCAAACTTCCAATAAGGAAGAGCCTGTGTGCCAGATGGGGAATGGGATGATGACTGTTGCTTGCTCCTGCTGTTCTTGGCTGGAAAGTGGTCCTGGCCATGTCCTGGGGGAGAGGTAGATGATGGTTGAGGGTTGTGTGGTGAGGAAGCAGCGAGCTTCTTGTGGGATATCTCCAGACTGTGAGACTGAACTGGGCCTGGAGGTTTTACCCAAGAAGGACTTGATTTCCAGCTGATCTCCTGGGCTAAATGATGTGTGGGATGATACGAGGACACCTGGCTTTGCTAGGAGGGCTTTTGTGCTGATGGACCACCTCTCTACATGTTCCCTCTTGGGTCATCCCTCCCAACAATCCAGCCGTTGCCTCCACGTTGGCCATATGGCAGAAGGCACATTGCAAGTTATTATCTCGTGGCCATAAAACACCACATGGATGTTGAAAAGGTGAAGAGAGGCACGGCTGGGCATGTTCATGTCCTCCTAAAACGCTTCTGCCATGGGATGGCGAGGCTTGGCACGACTCAGACAAGGTCCTCTCCCAGCGAGTCAAACTCCTGCTGTCTCGCCCAGGTGCACAGTAAAACCATACAACCCCCTCCCGTGGGCCGGGCTGGGAGGGTGCAGATGCTTTTGGTGGTCACCAGCCACCTTGGAACCATTGGTGTCAAAGCCTGGAGAGTGGGTTTTGGGGTTTGAACCTTCTTCTGATCTTCAGGTGTCTTGGTCTTGGCTGTGGTTGGTGTTGCCGAGTTCGGTTTTTGTTTATTTTTGTTTCCTGTGATCATGCATCATAAAGCTGAGTGTTGTTGATATAAGATAACATCGGCCTTGCGTAGTCTTCCCTCCCCTGTCTCTTCATAGCGACGTTGCCCTGAAACCACTCAGACTTTGTGTCGGGAGCGGCCGTCCTGCCCGCACCCCCACACTGACTCACATCTTTAAAATGACATCAGCCATGATGTGACGTGGGGTTTATCTGCAGCTGAGCTGTCACCTGGCCCTGGTGGCACCTCTTGGTGGGTTGAGAAATGCAGGTGATCCCAACAAAAACGCACTCAGGGAGAGGATGCAAACCCCCCGTGGTTTCACCGTAGTGACAGGCAGAGGCAATTTGCCTCCCAAGTTGAGGAATGGGAAAGCTCCAGTGTCTTCTCCATCGGACTCGGCAGTTGGAGCCCGGGATGCTGCTGGGGATGGAGCTGCATCATTTTCGGATGTTTTTCCCTACTTGGAGTGATGACATGGACCATCCAATGTGTTGTTTTTCTACCTGTGTGGCAAATCTACTTTCCTGCAAAGAAAAAATCAGTTCCAGCCATGTGTCAAGGGCTCCTCTTGTCCTGTTAATGAACTGATGGCAGTGCCAGAGGGATGTTGAAGGGAGGAAAGAGCAGCCATCCAAAACACCTCGAAAGGATGCCAGCAGTAGCATCAGGGGTGAGGACAGAGTGGCTGTGAAGCATCTAAAGTAGGGATGAGTGGTGGCAGGAGAGGAGAAGACACGCTTGGGGAGGATGGACAACCTCACCCTGCCGGGAGAAGCAAAAAATCTCAACGCCGACGCGTGGATGGACAGCGGGAGCCGGGTGCCAGAGCCCACGGACCAAATTAACTGTGAGCAGCTGCCTCGGCGTAGCTGAAGGCTGCGAGGTCTCGAGTTGCTCCAACGCTGGAGCTAAAACTGGATCAACCTTCGGAAAAAGAGGGCGAGCCACCGAGGAGCAGGAGGAGGAGCGAGGGCCGGGCCGCGGGAAGCCGGGGCAGGGAAGTCCTTTGACCAGTTGCTTTTTCTGCTCCAGCTCTGGGACTATAAATGTGAGAAGCAAGCAGGAATAACTTCTCCTGGGTTTTTGTTGTTGGGTTTTTTGGGGTTTTTTTTTAATCTATCCCCGTGGAGGATTAATCTTTGCTGCTAATAGAGCTTTAAACTCGCAAAGCGCCTTACGAGGAAACCGCACCGGGAGTGTGTTTGCAAGAGAGAAACTGAAAGTGCCGAGGGGGGAGAGCAGCCACCCTCCTGATCGCAGCCGTCGGCTGGCTCGGGGCCGTCCTCCCTCGCTCTGCCTGCAAATAACCGGGGCTTTCCCAGCTGCCTGCCTTGGAAGAGTATTTAGGGGAAAGTAGAAGAGCTCCGTGCAGATTCCCATCCCGGGAATCCACAAGGCAGGAGGTTTCGGCTCTTCGGTCGGTCCGTTTGAAGCCAGGAGGAGCAGCCTGGCAGGTAAGATGATGGGTGAAGCCAAATGACCCATCGCAATTGGGTGGGAGGGAGCACAGCCTCCCACCTGACAGCTTCCAGCTAAAATAAATTCATCCCAGTGTCGTGCCTCCCCCCTGACCAGGCGCTTTGTGCTCGCAACCTGCATGAAATTAAACTGCCGGCGGACCGTAAGGATCGAATTAAACTTCTCTCCACGCAGAGCTTTTCTTGCAGCCAGGCAAATATTTCCGTGGCGTTTTAAAGACTCTCGTTTTTCCATTGTTCTGTATAAAAACCCATCGCCAGGCTGGGCTTCCCCCGGGGCGATTTCCTGGCTCGTTAGTTATTAACGCAGCTGCGGGGTTGGGTTTGCTTTTTGTTTTGGTTTTTGGTTTTTTTTTTTTTTTTTTCTTTTTAGCTGAGAAGTGCCGGATTAAGACCCGGCATCTCACTGTCTTGGCATCTGAAATAAAAGACGAGGCTTCTGGAGCCCCTGTGACAGTGGTGGCCATCCAAAGTGGGACGGGATTGTGCAGCATTGGGTGGTTTTGTGGCTGAATAAATAGTGATAATCTCGCCCGAGAGCTGGCTGGAGCCCATCCGCTGGCGCTTGCGTAGGTCGGCTGTCTGTCAGCTGAGTCCTCCACCCCGGTCTCGCTTTGCATTTACACCAAAAAAAACCCTCACGTCGCGCTGAGCATTGTTTGGGGGCGGTGCTTTGGGAGTAAAAGCAGGAAAAATGGATCATTTCCTCAGCTGCTGCTTTGCCTGGGGGATGCTGAGTCGTTGCGTGCTCCCATCGCCCTCAGGGCTTCCCCCTCGCGTCTTCCCCCCCCCCAACTTCTCCTGCAGCATCTTCCCCCCTCACATCTGCTGTGGATGGAGCAGGAGGACGAGGTCAGGGTGGTGATGGCCACGGGCTGGTTCTTGAGAGCTAAAGCTGGGAGCGGGAGTGTTGCAGGGGAGTTGGGAGTTGTGCTCTGTGCGGATGGCGAGTGTTTTCCCGAAGCCAGGAGAATATTTTTCATATTTTTAAAAGGGGCTGGAGAAGAGGGATTCTGTCACCATCTCATCAAACAGCTCTAAAAGGAGTGCTTTTAAGACAAGCTCTGATGAGTTTGAGCCCTGGTTTAAACTGAGGTTGAAACTTAAATCACTCAAGATTTCTTTTTTTGAATGGAATTTAAAAGAGGAAAGAAGAAAGTACTAACAGAAGTTTGCTTTCTTTTTTGGAGGATAAGTGCCTTTTCCTCACCAAGGAATCACCTGAATCCTTTTTGCTTGAAGCCTCCTTTAGGTTTTGATGTATTTCAGCTATTAAAATTTCTCTTAACAGCCAGAAGAACATCAAACTTAGGAGTGAACTGTGGTTGGTATCAGAAACCAAGTTGCACATTACCTGCTTCATCTTCTAAATCAAATAATCTTTAATATTATGAATTATTCATTGCAAGCATAGCAGCTGGTGCCAGACTGTTTACACGGGGACGCTGTGTTATATTTTTCCACCTCAATAACGCGGGTCCTTGCCTTGGAGCAATGTGGATGAAGGTTGCAGGGAAGCTGGGCAAAACGCAGGTTTTGTGCGAATTACCCAATTTGCTCCTTAGAAGTTTGCCCTCTCTTTTTTCTTACTATTAAAATAATGTTTCCATAGCCAGTGCAGATAAGTTGGGGGATTTTGGTGTTTTTGGTGTGTTGGTTTGGTTTTTTTTTAGTTGGGGCATCATTCTCCTAAGAGTGGGACCCCACAGTGGGTTGTGATGCCTCAGAGGGATGCTCATGTGGGACAAGATCCTGCCTTTCACCAGCAGCTGGATGAGCTGACTGGGCTCTCCTTGGATACTGGCATCACTCCAGCCAACGCTCCGCAGCACTGGGGTGGAAATTCCCCTTTTTCGCCCCAAAACCAGCCCTGGTGAGGATTTCTCAGCAAGGACTCGCTGTGTGGCAGCCGTCTCTGCAGGCTGCTCTTCGCTTTTGTTTACATCTGGTAGAAAACTTCTTAAATTTACTGGCGAGGGAGTAATTCTGATCCTTTTCAATGAGATCAACGGATTAGTGTCTCAGATGCTTATAAAATTGTGAGGATTAGCCGAGGCTTTTCCCCCCCCCCCCCCTTTTCTCTCTGTGCCACCTAACATCATCGCTGCGTTTTAAAAGGGGATCTCTGTGCTGTTACTAAGAGCTGAACCAATTTATGGGAGTCTTTGCCAATCAAAGCATTTAAAAACAATATGTTCATCCTCTCCCTCACTCACTCTGGCTTTTTGTGCAATATTAGGGTTTGTTTTTTGTTTTTTTTTTCCAGCATCCCTGGCACCAAACCACGGTAGCCGTTCAGCAGATACGTTGGGTTTTCGTGGCTTGGCTGCGTTGCAGCACCCGTGCGGGTAAGTAGGGAGCTGACTCAAAAACTTTTCTTGATAAAGACTTGCAAAATTGCATATCGAGATGAGCAGATCCTGAAAATGATGTTATTTCATGAGGTTTCCCCTTACTGCAAAGGATTCAGGCTTTCGTGGTCCATCCCCAGAGGGGAAGGATGCTTTTGGGTCGATGGGATGCTCTCACCCCAGCTGTCAGGAGTGATGGGAGTGGGATGAAACTCCACGCACTCCACATCCCTGCATCCTCTTAATTATAACCTGCGCCTTCATTAGGACATGATCACTAACCAGCTCGCAAGGAAAACCACGCATGGAGCTAACACGGAGGAGGATTTAGTTGAAACCTGGTTGTTCTGCCTCCTCTTGCCATATTGCCTCGTGCCTTTCCCTGCAGGGTATTTTTTAAATGCCTTTTCCCCTGGGTCAGTGGCTGCACGGTCGATTGACCTGTGGGAGCGAGGCAATCTCAAACTGCCGAGTGGTCAGAGCTCCAAGCCAGGAATTTCTGGCCCTGACCCAATATACTTTCCAAGGCAAGCTTTTAAATATATACAAAGACAAGCTCATCATTTCCACTATACTAATGAGGCCACGGCGTTTTCATTGAAATGTGCCAATAGCTGCCGCGGTGGTATTTTAGCAGCCTTGTACTGTGAATCCAAATGTGATTTAACATGGCAGCCCCCGCAGAGCGGAGGAAAACCGGCTTCTTCCGCTGAATTTCAATGATGCTTCTCGGCAGCACTACCCGAAAATCCCTGCGGTGGTGGGACCTTTCCTTGCATTTCATCTCGATGCGGGTTTTTTTTCCTCTTAAATGCCACTGTTTTGGTGAAGATGGGGAAGGGTAGGAATGGGCTGAAAGAAAGGTAATGATATTTGAGATGAGGAAATTCTTGGTTTTAAAAGATCTGCGGTTGGCCGGTGAGAGGCAGCTATTTAATAAGCAGACACTCTGGAAGTATCTTTAACTCATAGTAAAAACCAAACGCGAGGTCTCCCAGGCATCATGTGCTCTCTTGACCTTTAAAAAGACACTCGAGGCAGCCTGCCTGCTCATTGCTAAGCCGACTTACGGATTTTGCCTTCTAGTAGGCGATTCAGCACCCGGGAGTTTGTAAAGATCCGACAGCAAACTATTACACGCCTGAAAGTCGCGTTGGTGTTTTCTAGCTTCGCTGCCTGAGGAGACCCTGGTAGCCTTGGAGCAGTTGGGAAATATTTAGCAGGTTTTGTTTGGTCAGCTGCAAGAAAAATACAAACTTTAAGTAACCCTCTCAAAAGTTGTTTGTTTTTTATATAACGAGTTCTGCATCAGCAACACACCTGTAACTTGGGATTTTACTTATTTTGGGGCTTAATTTATGAGAAACCCGCGTAAGAAGCAATGTCTGTCAGAAAAGTGGGGGTGTGGGTAGGTAATGCTGAAAATTTGTGCATGGTGATCCATCATTTTCTGCTTACAGACCGCGTGCTGCAGGTAACTCTGAATTTTAAGGTCTCTTGACTTTCTCCGTCCCACTAAGGTCAGACCACGGTGCTGGGGTGAACAGGGAAGGATGATATCCCATGGCATTGCCTTCAGCACCAGAACTGTACCACAGAGGAGGAGATGCCTGTGTTGGGTTTATGCATATTGATCACCATCAAGCACCAAGTCTGGGAGTGGAAAAGTTCAATTTTCCATTTCCAGCTAAATTTTGAGGGTTTTGCAATCCTCGCAGCCACCTTTGCTTGTGCTGATCCTGTGAGTGAAGCAGTTTGTGTCCCGTATCTGTATGGCTCGAGGTAGGTTTGTTGGGTTTTTTTCTGGGCTTTAAAGCGTTGTGAAATTCCCCCAGTCTCTGTTAGCAGAGCAGAAGGAATGATAAAAAAAATACTCCCCCAAAACCCAGTACTTTTTTTAAAACCAGAGGAAGGGCAGGCTGACTGCGCAGCTCGTTTTTCTGTAAGTATTAGGAAAAATAGCAAACAGCAGTGACGTGGCATTAGTGTAAATTCCCAGCAGGCTGAGGTTTGGGTTTGTTTGGGTTTTCCTGAAGGCTTTTTAATGCTGTCAGCATCTTAAAATACAAACCTTGCAGAATTGGTGTGGGCTTTGGGGGATGGCTCCTCCATCGGATTTGTTTTAGTGACTTCTTTCCGGTATCCAGACCCCAACTTTTCTGTTCTTCTGCATCCAGCTACCTCTTCTCCTTAATTTTTACCACAAATATAAATGGTGCAATTAAAAGGGTCCACGGAGAGCATTCCTGAGGACTGAAATCCAGGGTCCGGGAGCAGACGGCAGCAGCATAAAGAGGAATTCTTCCCTTTCTGGCCTCATGCTGCTTTTCCACCGTGAGGCTTTAAAGCCATCTGGATCCCCTTTCAGATTATATGTCCCCCCCTCAAAAATCCATAACCTAGCAACCTTATTTAGTGTAAACGAGAGCATTATGCCTTCCTGCATCCCAAATTGCACTTGGCTCTTCTTACTGCCTTTAGAGGATGGCTGCTAGCAGCTGTGATCCCATCGCCGGCGCAGGGTGCCTACCTCCAGCAGGATTTTGTAGGGATTATTGATCCCTGGATGTCGCACTGATTATTTTTTTTCCACATTAAAGGAGCTTAGGAAACAGGGGGGAAAAGGGTTTCAGGAGGTCATTTATTCCATCTGCTGCTCAGTATAAAAGAGCGGAGAGGGCCGGTTGCTCTTCTGCCCTGCAGAAGGTGATTTGCTTTTGTTCAGCCTGAAGAGGCCTGGGATCAAAGCAAGATGTTCTTCCAGGTGTGATATTTTGGGAACCTTCCCTGGCTCTCCCTGTCATCACCCAGGAATTTGCAATTTCCCCGGAGCATTTAACACCAACTTCTCTGCTCTGGCCCTTCAGCAGTGTAGGCTGAGCGTTTCTCACAGGGGTTCCAATCTGCTTTCTCCAAGGAACTTCTTAACTGGGGAAAACTCAGCAAATGAGGAGAAGCAACCACCAACGAAGGTGGGAGATTTATTTCCACCAAATTAAGCCATAGGAGCAGGGGGGCTGCAGCGTGTGGCGTGAAGCTGCCCACCCTATGGGGATGCCTGACTTCAGCCCTGGCTTTCGGTGCTTTGCTTGCTCTAAAATACTCTTGGTTTTGATAATATGCATGTTGTTAAGTTTTTTTTAGCACCTCAGCTCTGTGGTGTGGAGCGATGCTGCTCCATTGAGTGCCGTGGCAGCAGGCAGGGATGGGGTGACATGGTCCCATCACCGTGACCCCACACAGGGTGCCGGGGAGCTGCTGCCTTCTGCTTTCACCACCCTGAGTCTAACAGGGCTGGGGGCAGGAGGAGGCAGCGGCATGTCCTTTCCCACTGCACTTCCATGAGGAAGAGCGAGCTCAGCGGGTCGTGACGTTGGATGTGGGACGGACCCATGTGCCAGGAAAAGAGGGGGGGGGGAAGAAAAAAAAAAGAGAAAAAATCCCCGAGGCCAAAGGGAAAAAATTCCTCAAGTGTTATTTCATCGCTGAGAACCAAACTGAACTGTACGTGGGCAGCTTGAGTGCGCGTTTCAAAGCGAGAAGCTGCCGGCTCCGCTTCAAACCCTTCTGATAAGTGATTTCCATTTCTCATTTCTGTGATCCAATGGGAGCCCAAGCAGGACTTTCCTCCAAACTCCGCTTCCCCCCTCCTGCAAACTGGATTAAAAAGGGCTATTGATTTTTTTTTTTTCTGTTTATTTTTGCCTTTTTTTCCTGGAACTTGCAAAATCAGCCCTCAGCAAACCTCTAGTTTGCCTTTCCAACAACGCTGGGTGAAAGCACTTGACTTTAAACTGGGTGATGGGAGCTGCAGCTGACCTATTTTCTGCACATTTCTCTGCCAATGGTAGCAAAAACATTTTCACATTTAAAGGTGCTCTCTGGTATTAACATCGTGGGATCATTTGTTAAACTGCCCAGCATTAAAAGCACTTGCTGAAAATTGCAGTGGTACTGGTTGCCCTGCTGGTTATTTCTTTTGTCATAAAGACTTTTCTATTTTTTTCCGGTGGCTGATTGCTTCGTTGCGTTGTCACATCGCTCTGTCTGTGTCCCCCTGCCCAAAGGCAGGGGAGAGGGTTAAGGCTTTGTGCTCAGTGTCTGCCAGCCAGGGAGCATAGCCAGGAAATTTCCTGATTCCAGTTCAAAAAAAGCATCAGGTTGGCTCTTGGGCAGAAGGGATCAAAGGTTCAAAGCGGTTCTTGAAGGAGGTCAGTTTGGTTTCTTGGTTGTCCAGGCACACAACAAAAATCCACCGCTGTCCCCCAAACCTGCACACAGCTAAAATGGGTAAAATAAACACGTTTTGTTATGTTTGACACCCAAAAGTTTCCTCTGTTCCCTGGCTGCGGTGCAGCATTGCCCCGGATGAGTTTTGCTGGATCTCAACCCAACTCTGCCCCGTGGTGTCAGGGGCCACGAGGGACCTGTCAGGATGCTCGCCCTTCGTTAATCCCGCTAATCAGTAACGCTGCCCAGCCGTGTGCCCTCGCTCACGCTCCTCCTCTGCTCCCTGCCAGCTTTTTGCAGCCGAGGAGGTGGGTCCAGTTGAATGCTGGGAGTCGGCGCTGGATGCTTCAGGCTGCCGTCTGGCACCGTCCCCGTAGGAGCGTCGTAGCTCTGCTAAAACATCAGCGTGATGAGAATTTTGGATATTCCCCCCCGCTCCATCACTCCTGTTGTCCCCTGGTTTTGGGTGGCAAAGGACGTTGCTCCTGGCCGGAGCAGCCTTGAGGTTTCGCCCTGCTCCATCCCAGGTGGCATCTCAGCATCTCTCGAGCAGCAGCGATGCTGCTGTCGGGGCCTGGCTCTGCAGCTGGTTGCGATTTTCCCAGCGCTGCGCTGCGGATCCTCGCGCTGGACCAGCTCCAGAGGTGGAGCTGAAGGAAATTCCTTCCAGCTGCTTGAGGTCAGGGCTTCGCTTTTCTTTTGGGGTTCTCGAGGGGGGTTATTTTTTGCCTGCTAGTTAAAAACAGGCATCTCTCGCTGCTGCTTTT